TTCCCTAGGGAAACCCTAGCTGAGCTGTCGATTGGCTGTCGACAACCTGGATCGAGCGCTCAAGCTCGCCTATCCTTCGATCTCTCCTGTAAGTCGCGAGCCCGCCTGGAGTTTGCCAACTCGACCTCGCCTGCTCGAGCTCGCCTGCTTGAGCTCGCCTGAAGAACGATTCGAGCTCGCCTTGCCTGCAGATATGCATTGACCTCGCCAACAACAACTCGATCTCACCTGCACCTCGTCGACTGGATCGCAAGCTCGCCTAAGGGAGCTCCTCACCAGACCTTCGCCTACTCGAGAGCTCCGCCTACAGGTGCCAAAGCTCATCTCTCCTGAGGAGCTCGCCAGAAGTCGCCGACCTTGCTTGAGCTTCATCCTCGCCTGGAGAAGCTCGCCTGTAAGGTTTGGGCTTCACCCCCAATTCCAACAGGTGTGCCGATATCACTACTGCACTATTTGCTTCAAAACCATGACTATCTGGAGGAAACGGAGCAGACCACTCTCGCAGATGAACAAAGACTACTATCAAGATGCCCTAAAACTGCAATGATCATAATTAGGAGGGAGAAACTAAACGCTGACATAAGGGGCGTGTTTTGGTGTGATCACACAGAATTCCTATATATTACTTGAGAACATGGAAGAAGAACGAGTTGACGCACAATCAATGTAAAAAAAATCTACATTTCCATCATTATTAGTTTTACTTCTCATTGTTGTTTGATTTGCTTTTGGATCGTTGCACAGTTGTATTTGAAGACTCATAGATAATTTGTTTACTTTTATGCAATTTATGTCCAACAATTACTTAATTTGTTCCTTTCTACTTTATTTGCTTTTGGATTGTTCCTTTCTACTTATAGATAATTTGTTTACTTTTATGCACTTCCCTTTGTTCGATATGCAGCTATAGGAGTAATATGCGGGGTAATTTTAGCATTTAGAGGCACGATTAAGGCTTGCAGCCCAATCTCTTTCATATTTTTATCCTGTTAGATCCTTTTCTCGTGTTACCAAATGCAGTTCCGTACCACTCAAACATTACCTATATCCGCTTCGGTAATTTAAGCGGCACTACCTCTCTGAAGTGTATTTCTTTAGCTTAGGCTTGTTAGATCTACATAAAACTTGAGATCTAAAACCACATAGCCATGATTAATTCGAAGAGATTAACAAGAATCATAAAGGAGTGGAAGCTTATACCTGAATCCATTGCTTGAACTTGAGATGAGTTTTGATCTTCTAACCTTAGGGTTCTCTCTAACCGAATTTCTCTCTAGATGGGGGTGAAAAGAATTAGAGAATGTAACCCTAGATTAGGGACCATAACACCTTATTTATAGATGTTGTACATTTATAATTTGGCCCATCAATAAATCACAATTACAACCTGGTATCTGCACATATAACCACATAACTTATTTAAATACCCAATTAACCCAAATTAATTGATTACTTTAGTGGGTTATCCTGAAAGATAGCAATACACATTGATTAATCATATGTGCCCACAAATAGATTTATTAGATTAAATCCAACAATCTCCCACTTGGGCACCATATGATTCCTTAAATTGTGTATAACCTTATGAGCTCAAAATTGCTATCACTGAAAAGGTATTTCCGAACAATCTCGTCTATTGACTATATCAATATAGGATCAAAGCGGCCTTCGTCACATTTATCGTGACTCGACCCATCAATGGTCACATATACCAATACAATCAAATGACATACATCAATCATGGATGTGCAACATGAAAATTACATGCAATATGATCAGTACATGTCTATTTTCAACTGGTCCTCAATTAGTAAGGTCAAAACCAAACATAATGTAGCAGAGTGTCTTAACTGAATACTTTATTCTGATCAGACAATACAACCAAACATAAAGCACCACAAATACAAACTCCCACTAAAACATAATATCCTCAAATAATACCACACCCATATGAGCAGTATGCTCATGAAAGACCTTGGATGGCAATCCCTTAGTAAGAGGATCAGATATCATGGAGTTCGTCCCAATGTGCTCTATGGATATCTGTCTACTCTGTACCCTTTCTTTCACAAGCAGGAACTTAATGTCAATATGTTTTGACTTAGTTGAGCTCCTGTTGTTATTGGAATACATTACTGCAGATTTATTGTCACAATATAACTTTAGTGGTCTTTCAACATTTTCCAAAATGCGCAATCCCGTGACAAAATTTCGCAACATATTCCCTGATTGGATGCCTCATAGCAAGCTACAAATTCTGCTGCCATAGTAAAGAAAGCTACTAGTGTCTGTTTGACACTTTTCCATGATATAGCTCCTCCTGCTAACATATAAATGTAGCCTGATGTAGACTTCCTACTATCTTGACATCCAGCAAAATCAGAATCAGAGTACCCAATGACCTCCAGCTGTTCTGATTTTCTGTATGTGAGCATATAATCTTTTGTTTTCTGAAGATACCTCATAACCCTTTTGACTGCTATCCAATGATCCATACCAGGGTTGCTTAAGTATCTGTCTAACATCCCAACAATGTACGCAATATCCGGACGCGTACATACCTGAGCATACATTAGATTTCCTACAGCCGAAGCATAAGGAATCTTCTGCATTTCCTGAATTTCAATGTTACCTTTAGGGTACTGATTGAGACTAAACTTGTCTCCTTTAGCAACAGGGGTATCTCCTGGTCTGCAATCTTGCATGCCAAACCTTTTAAGTACCTTATCGATATAGCTCTTTTGTGATAATCCAAGAACACCCCGAGAGCGATCTCGATGTATCTAGATCCCTAATATAAAAGAGGCGTCCCCAAGATCTTTCATCTTAAAATTCTTTGATAGAAATCTCTTAGTTTCGTGCAGCATGCCTATATCATTAGTGGCAAGCAATATGTCATCGACATACAGAACCAGAAAGATATACTTACTCCCACTGAACTTGTGATATACACAGTCATCAACAATGTTCATCTCAAAACCGAACGAGATAATTATTTGTTGAAACTTATGATACCATTGACGAGGAGCTTGCTTGAGTCCATAGATGGATTTCCTTAATTTGCAGACCATATTCTTTGGGTCTCCTGACACAAAGTTTTCTGGTTGCATCATATAGATCATCTCATCAATGTCGCCATTGAGAAATGCAGTCTTAACATCTATCTGATGTAACTCAAGATCATAATGAGCAATAAATGCCATGATTGTTCTGAAAGAGTCTTTCGATAAAACCGGAGAGAAAGTCTCTGTATAATCAATGCCTTCCTTTTGAGTATAGCCTTTAGCCACAAGACGTGTCTTATACCTCTCCACATTACCATTTGCATCCCGCTTGGTTTTAAAAATCCATTTATAACCAATTGGTTTTGCACCTTCTGGTAACGGGACAAGTTCTCAAACCTTATTGTCTTGCATAGACTTGTACTCTTCATTCACTGCATCAATCCACTATTGAGAGTTAGAACTTTTCATGGCCTGAAGGAAGTTGATTGGATCATCTTCAAACATTCCATTACTTTCCTCATGTTCTTGGAGAAATACAATATAATCATCCGGAATAGCATTTCTCTTTTCTCTCGTGGATCTCCTTAGTGGCACTGGTTCTTGAGGTTGTTGAGTTTGTTCTTCTGAAACAGGGAGTTGTTCAACATTATCATCTTGATGGTTCTTGAGGTTGTTGAGTTTGTTCTTCTGAAACAGGGAGTTGTTCAACATTATCATCTTGAGGTTCTGGATTTACTTTTTGAGCAACAACAGGTATAGGAACCTGAATATTGTCAAAAGTAACTGTATGGATTGGATCTGAAGCCAATTCCTCCTTAAAACTAATGTCTCTAACCTTATTTCTCCCCCCAAACTCAACATCCTCAAAGAATATTGTTGTTCCCATCTCAAAAATATTCCTTAGTGTGGGATCATAAAACTTATAGCCCTATTTGCGGTGAAAGTTGCTATTTCCATTGTTATCGAATCTATTACAACTTTAGTTGTTACAATAAACTCGAATGAAATAAAAAGTTAATCTTTTTATAAGATCTCCTTACACAATGAAAATAAAAAAAGTTTACAACTTTATCAAACAAACGCAGAGATCGTTCATCGGTCTTCTGCTTGAAATAAAAAAAGTTTACAACTTTATCAAATAAATGCAGAGATCGTTCATCGGTCTTCTGCTTGCGTGGGATCTTTGCCTGTGCCGGGGTTTATCCGTGGACCACCGTCGATCAGATCTGATTGCTGAAAAATTAGGCAGAACTTCATCTATCCGCGAAGGGATCGAGAAATCGTAGCTCTTATCTCGGCGAAGCGAAATAATCACTCTTCTTAAGATTACCACAACGGGATAATCTTAAGGAACGGATCCGAGAAACTGTAGATCTGACGAATCTCTCTCTCTTGCGTTGAAGAACTGGATCCGATCTCTCCTTCTCCTCTCTAAAATCCGTGCACCTTCAGTCTTCAATCCGGCAGGGCTTCGCCTAATCTCCAAAATTCCAGATCCCTAAAAAATGAGGCCTAAGGCTTGTATTTATAGGCTTTAGGGGGTGCGGAGCGGTTAAAACGATCTTAAGGCCCAAATCTGACTTGGAGACACCCTAGGGTGTCTCCACTTGATCCGAGACACCGTAGGGTGTCTCGTTGGTCTGAGACACTCCATTGAGGTGTATTCATCTGCTTTCGCTGTAAATTCTTCGTCCGAACTCGGATTTGAGTGATTCGAAATGCGTTGGAAAGCTGACGAGGAGTTCTATCAGCTTCGATGGTTAGATCATCTGTTGCATGAATGAGACACGAAGGGTATTATTCCTCTTGTGAACATCGTGGGGCTCCTGATTAGCCCGTACCTTCATTAGTTTACGTAGTTCGTCGATTCACTTCAATCGTTCATCAACATCAATCGAACTCCTGTGAATCGGATAGTGACGTTCATCGTCGTTCTTTAACACTGAGCTATTCGTGGAAACCTATAGGCAATTTTTGATGCCTACAATCCCCGACATGAGGAAGACGCTGTCCCATTTCGGTCACTATAATTTTCACCGATTCTTCCCCTACTTCAGTGGCGGAGGGTATGGCGAATCTCTTCGGGATGCATCGACGACGAACCATAACACCGTCATCTCTTGTGGTGCCTTTCGATGGCTGGTGAATATTCAGCCGGGGTATCACGTCCTACGAATAGGCTCCGTGTGCTACCTTGAGCCTTACATTCCTTGTAGGTTTACCCGTTAGTTCGGGTATGATCAGCTGTACGTAGGAAATATTAACCCTTACTTGCATTGTGAAGGAGGGTTAGTGGATGGCATGCGAGGGTGGTTCTGGACCCATGCTAGTAGCACCAACGTGCGTTTCGAGCTACCTACGAAGGATCGCGACCTTCACCACATGCTTCTATATTGCCGGTAGTATCAGGGCACCAGTGCTAATCCTGAGGGCTTTCGGTTCTAGAACTCTTGCCTGGCGGAGAGTAGGCGCCGACCAAGGGTAGCTCCCCGCCCGACGACCACATGCTTCTATATTGCCGGTAGTATCAGGGCACCAGTGCTAATCCTGAGGGCTTTCGGTTCTAGAACTCTTGCCTGGCGGAGAGTAGGCGCCGACCAAGGGTAGCTCCCCGCCCGACG